AAAATCTTATATAGTAGAAATTGCTGATATACAGGCAAGTACAAAAATCTTATGTATTGAAAATCTTCTCATCGTGAACATCGAATAACTCTAATTTCACTTATCATTGTTGATATAAGTTCAAATTCGAACCGCCAAATGATCCGCTAAATATTTAGCGGATCCGCTAAACATGCAATAAGGATGTCTCCACATGATACACTAAATGTTATCCAACCTCGTGTGAGTGACACCTCCCAATAGTGACATAAAACTAAAGAACCGATGTATATCACTATTGGGAGGTTTAACTCTGTATAAGGATCTAAGTAATTGGTCAACTCTAGCACGTTTTATTCGCTTAGACTTGTGACAATAGATTTTAAGTAATAAAATTATGAGTACTATTATGTTTAGACTGAATTTCCCCTCTGACTACTAGTCCAAAAAGTAGGTTCAGATGTTAGTACATTCAGTGTGCTGATACGTAATGCTGGATATCTTCCTATATGTACAATTACTGTAAATTAGATTGGTATCATACATTTTTTTTACTTGGATTGAAGGGTTGGAGATGGGAGTCTGATGATTATCTTCTCCTATCATATATACATATGTATATACATACATATTAAATGACACACATGTAATGTTTCATTCTAGAAAAATTACAAAATTAGCAAACATATATTTATCAAGTGTATCGGAAACTGAACTGTGTCAAATACAGTTCAAACTTTGTTCACTTTCCTTTGTACAATAAATATTTATTCCTTTTAACAAGAAAATGATTTAAAAGTGAAAAAGTACATTGACCGAGCATTGAATGAGTCCAAAGATATACACTTAAGTTGTTAAGTCCTACTTAAAAGTGTCATTTGATATTTTTGCCACGTTTTAGTTAATTGTGGCATCTAACATTTTTTTAAAGTGATATTTGTGCTGAAAAATTTCTGTGACTCTGTTGAAATCAAGAGATTGAGCTTTTTTCTTGAAATAAGCTCAATCTTGATTGCCAGAATCTTTGTGTAACAAAGTGAAATTTGTTAGTATTAATGTATTACATTTTTGTATTTTAATTATCATAATTAAAAATTTTGAAACATCAAACTGCTACGCTTGCATGATGTTAGTAAGAGATAGATTGTGCAAATACATTGTTTATTGTATTTCTCTCATTTGATGAGATAATAGTGAAATTCGATCTAGCATGTCTTTTCAAGGATTGTTACTAGATCTTCATTGAAACTTCTCAACATTACAAATCAGATGAAATAGTTTTTTTTAATTGATTTTATCACATCCCATGCATCATTGAAAGATGTATTCTTGTTGTAATTTTGAAGCGTCGTCTTCACGTCATGTTCAATTTCTGACGCTTTGATTAATTCTTTGTGTTATTTTTTAATATGATCAACATACTCTTGAGACTAGTGTTTTTCAACCTGCGTTTGGAACCCATTCAAAACTTCATTGATGAATTTTACGTCAATAACTTGTTAATGTTGGCAAGCATAATTTGCGAAGCTTCAAACTTGCGAGCATTGTTGTTTGAGTTGTGCTTCTCATAAATCATGGATGTTTGTATTATAATTAATAAAGCAAAATATCCAATTACTTTGATAATGTTGCTTTTGGTATTCTAATCTAGGAATGTGTAACCATTTTTAGTTAGTAAAGACTAAAGTAAAGGTTACTTTAGATTTTGATATAGATACTTTAGAGTACACTAGTCGTAGTTGTCACGTCAGCGATCCGCGCGCTTGGTAGGTAGAGAGTAGGTGTACTAGTTGATAGCGTCACGTCAGCGATCCATGTGTTTATTAGGTAAGGATTGAGTGTCTTAGTTTGAAGCGTCACGTCAGCGATCCGTATGCTTATCAGGATTATTCGTCACGTCATCCATCTACTATGAGTGGTACGGATGATGGGGATAATATCTTGTTTCCTTGTATTTGTTGGTGAGAACTATATGAGGGAGTGGAGAATCATTGTTTATATATCTCATCTTCAGAGTTTACATTTCTATCTTCGAGTGAACTTCTTTATAAACCCTAGTGTTACGCAATGATCTTGTATTCATGAAACCTCATCATCAATATGATGTCAAATTGAATCAAACAAAATGTCGTTGTTAAACAACATGAATTTCAAATTTTAATTATTGACATCATTGTAGAAGTAAAACCGTTTTGAGCGAATATTAATTCCATATATATTGACGATCAATTTTTTTTAATTCAATACACTATCTTCGTTGAATAACATGGATTTTTTCAAATCATGAAACTCAAAATCATTGAAAAAGTTGTATTGTTTCAAGGGTATACTGATTCCGCATATATTTGCCATCAAGTTGTCCAATTCAATATATTGCTACGAGATGATCATGTCACACGTCTGCAATGTCTTGAATGTGATTTGAATCATTGTTAAAAGCGGATTAAAGAATGCAGTAATGATCCATCACTTATTGCACAACGATTGTTCAAGGCGCTTTTCCCAACTTGTTGACAAATTCATCGACAATTTTGTAAAATCTATTTGAATAGACAACCTAATTTGATTTCTCATGTTATTGATCAGGTTAACTTGCGTCCCCTGATTAATCGAAAACACATGAACTGTCTTGTAAAATCATCATCTTGAATGTCATTGGTTGCTTGCATAACGACAAGATTCAATTGGTAAAGAGTATATCAAATGTGAAGAACTTTGTCTACACATCTTAATAAATTGTGTGACAATTCTTTTTAATTTGCCTTGTTATCATGTTTATGCCATCAAAGTTGATATAGATGATTTTGTTAATTCATATTGAATAAATCACGTTCAATAGCATGTTGATCAACTCCACGTAGTTCATCGCAATTTGATGATCCCAAATGGCATCAGTAATACATGCAATCTTATTAACCCATTATCAACACTCAAATTTGCTGATGCAACAATAATATCATTTAATGCATTTAATAATCAATAGCCAACTAGAAAGCACATGAACAAATTCCACACCTCTATCAAAATAAGTTGTAATGAAACCGCAAGCATGAACTTTACAAAATTGTCAATCATATTATAGATTATCACAACTAGTTTAGCGTTCTTGGTACAATTGCAATGTTGGGTATTAACCTTAGCAGTCTGTCTACACAATTTTGTGTGCTCAAAAGATAATCAAGATTGCAACAATTTTTTGATAATGACAATATATTTATCTACTTCCTTGTTGACTTGCAGTTTGAACAATTTCATAACGTTTGTCTTTGAAATCGGTTCCATTTCATTTTTGTAGTCATCTAGCTCTAGCTTGAGAAACAAATTGCCAACAAGATCATCGACTATTTTCACTTTAAAGATTTTGAAAGTGACACACTCCGATTTGCAATTTGTATATGAATGTATACAGTTGTTTAATTTGTCATCCAAATATTCCTTCTTGTTCTCCAGATATAAATGCGGATATGTTGTTCAATTGTTTCCATGTTGAATCTCAAGGTGTTTTTTTATAGCTCGGATTATTTTTGGCCGTAGGCGATATATTTCACAATTTTGAGTCCATATTGAATCTTATTTATTTCCTCGAGTGGCGTTTCACATGACATCAAACCAGAGAAAATCGTGTGTAGAATCGCTACACACATGTTGCAATTATACTTCTCCAGGCCACCACTCACTTTGTAAAGCCTCAATTGCAGCCAAAAGTACCTATACGGCATGTATAAATTTTGAGATCCAAAGAGTCCCTATACGACATATATAATCTTTGACATCGGTTCCATTTCATCTTCGAAAATGGTAGGTTCCGATTAGTGTCACCTACATTATAGTCACCCTTAATTGTGACGTAGATCCAATTTTAATTGTGACAAAGGTGGCATTTAAAAAAATTGTCACTTTTAATGAGGCGTAAGTCTTATGTGGCTCTCCCACGTTATAACTTAGATTAGAACATGATGATTGTGTGCTGCATAGCAGTCGGGATTGATCTTATTAGGTCCGGGAAGTGTTTTGACTTATGTGCCATCAAGTACTTTTGTCCAGTAACTCTGAATGTTACCTGACAACAGAAATTATTATGAGTAGAAAAAATAAAATTGCTTTCCAAGCATAGAAAAATCAGGCGACGAAACTTATAAGAAAACAGCCTGCCAAATTTTTAATCTTACGAAGGTCCACGTTATGTCGACTACACACCTTAAGCTTTTGCTTGCGGCAACGCCACAATCCTTTCCTCTCATCTACTTCAATCTCAGTCCCGAAAATCAGATTGATCACACACAACTTCTTCATTTAAGAATCCTGTCTCAGGTTTTTCAGTACAATCAGTTTTCCATTCAGACTAAGTAATGATCTCAGAAATTATCAGAATCCAGGTCTTTCAATATCAGTCACCTCTCCTGAAGGTTTCTACAACACCAACACAGGACTAGGCTACGAACGTTATTGGTGTCGCAAAAATTTCAATGTGATGTAACTGCATACATTATGAGTGCCGTATACTCTACTACCTTACCATGATTGTAAAAACGTTTCACCTTTCGACATCTTGGAGTAACTTCTCTTCATTCGAAAATAATGTATGTTTAGGCTGGATCCCACGTTTTCGAGATCCGTTCAGTGCCACACTTCGCAATTCCGACCGGTAACTCCGCCCAGACAAGTAGGTCGAGAAACCAATGAACTCTATCCGTGATGCCCTTCAGCTGCTTGTTCGACCTCGTAGTTCAGTCTTAATAACGTCAATAGGAGACATTCCCATGAAAGGTACCTTAGAAAGCCGTCAACTGATACCTTGCAGTTGTATTTATACACGTCCCTGCTATCCAGCTGCTACAGGTGGTCATTCAGACAAAAACATTCTAGTGTATATCGTGAACACGTATATCGTGCACATCCACAACATAGCAGGTCAATGAACCTAGTGCAGCAACTGTGTGTCTGCCTTAAAAACGATGAATTAGTAAGGCACATGGAGATATCCTTTCCGACACTTTAAAAGTTCTGGTACATACAATATGCACTGTAGATCACGGGACGCGCCACCGTGAAAACATGAATGAATGGACTCTGACAGTAGGTTGAGATGCACACGATGTTGAAACGTTGAGGCTTTAAACGGCATCGATTTTGACCATGTCGAGAAGGAAAGACAGTGCAACCTCCAACATGACGTTGAGGGTGGACATTAAAACTTGACAAATCAACACTCTGAGCGAAAAACACCTCTGGTAGCACATTGAGGTCAGATCATATACGGCTAGCGATTTCTTGCAGCAACGAATGACCTATTTGTAGCTCAACGTAGATAATACAACAGCCCTTCCTTTTGGTTTTTTCAGTTGAAGAAGTCCTTCGCTTCTTCAAAGAGCGTCATGTGCCTTCCTTACGAACAGTCAGCTCAAAAAGTAGTCGCCGTTGTCCACCACACCCTTGACTTCACGGGTCAATTGTCACTATGGAAAAACCTGCGCTCTGTCAGCTCTTCTGTAATCTCCAGTTGCCTTCAATCATCCGCATTTTTCCTCTGGCCTTCATCATACTGTTCCCTATATGAATGTTTACAGCGGAGTATGCTGTAGTGAAAGCTTCTGTCACTCCTAGAAAATCCGGAATCTGCTCTTGAGAATTAGGTAGCACTGACCTGGCAATCCTTCTCGTTGACCGTCATTTATCTCAGAGTAATATGGCAAGTCCTCAAGATACAGGAGAGAGCTCGGGCAAATCTAGGTCAGAGGCAAACCACCCATTCCTATTGCAACCTTTGAGATTCTTTTTTAAGGGTTGGCTCTCTACAGTGCAGGTCGATAGTGATCATCGCCATAGACCACATTTGGTTTCTGTACCGAGCCTTTGGACTTCATGTACAAAGTGTACTCACTTCCACAAGTGGATCGATAGAGGAGCAGAAAAAATTAATCCAGGGACTTCGGATTTGCGAATGTATTGCTGACAGCGGTTTCATAAGGTAAAATCAACTGTACACACTAATTCCCAAGAGTATCTCCATGATTCACCTCTAGTTAAGACAAACGATTGTCAAAGCTAGAACATTCTACTATAGTCGTTCTATGTATCATCAGAATCAGCATATGATACTTCGGTGTCTTTGTCCACATGCACACTAATTCACCGAGATCACGCATGCTTGGTTGTAATGCCAACAGCCACACTGCTAACAAGCTGTCCGCTATCGTCCAGTGTCATTGGATTTTCAACAATTACGGTTTGAGTTTGAGGGGCAAGACATGTAATGAATTGACAAGAGGAACATTTGACTGCATGAGCCCCGGCAGGATACATGAGAAGGAGTCCACAGCTTCCGCAATTGAGATGAGCAGGCGCGTTCGTCACAAAACTGCAAAGAGCGCAACGAACGTGGTTCGAACCATACGGATACACGAGAAGTGTTCCACAACCACCACAATAGAGTTGGCATTGCTGATGCTGATGCTGCTGCTGCTGCTGAGTGGGGTAAGGGATCAACGTTCCGGACATTGGCGCAGTCGCTGTTCTACCTTATATTGTGTCTCCGTAATTCTCCCCGCACGTCCCACGGATAGTCTGTTCTCACTGAATCTAGGTTTCCTGCCCGCCCGCCCGCAACCCTCAAAGCCTCCTCCTCCTCCTCGCCACGAAATCCCGTGGAACGTCAAATTCCTCTCCGCCGAAAAAACTCGACGAACCTACACATCCATCCCTGATGTAGTGAGATACGGATCACTACACCTGCGTCCGCCTAGCGACAGATGCTTTCACCGCTCATGAGTACAGACAGCGTCCCGTCTCAATCAATCAATCAATCTATCGATGGTTGCAATCAGGGTCAAGCCTGCAGGCAGTAGGAAGAGCGCCAACAGCCAAAATCTTCAATTCCTCCGCAACCTTGCGAAACAATTAACCGATCGACCACCCACGAGTCACGAGATCAGCCCCGTACTCATGGCTCGATTGACACTTCGATGAATAGGTCTTTTTGCAACTTTGACACCGTTTCCTCTCCTCTGTTCGCCTCGCCTCGCCTCACCTCTCGCCGGGGCCGGAGCTGTAGATGCAGCCTAGGAAAAGCGAGGGGCGCATTTTGACTTCATGGCTCGCAACAGTCTCGATGGCATGAAAGTGCGTTAGTCGACCCCTCCGTCAGTCGCTCGGTCGGTCGGTCGGTCAATCTCGGCAGCGCCACATCTGCTGCCGCTCGCTTTCATCCGCCCGGCCGCGCACGAAGCCAACGTCCAGACGCTGCTCGACCTCGTCAAATCCACTGGGACGGGGAGGAACGGAAGCGAGGGGAATCTTCTTACACGTGGACATCCCTGATTCGCTTCCATACCCTGGGTGTCTGACATGGAGGCTGACCTGTTTAAGAAGTGACGGAGCAACGTCAGAATCAATCATGACTTCAGTTGACTTCGTATACCGTATGCTCTGATTCCGCGAATAGGAATGCGCTCCCTTATTCCAAAATGAAGAATTCCAGTAACGGCCACGTGTTTGAGTGAGATTCCACCATGGGTTTCTCTTTTTACGTTCCTCTTTCCCGTTCACGTGAAGTCCTATAACGTACTCCGTAGCTCCGATTCGTTGCTTGCTGTGACTACAGGATTAGAATGGATCAGATTCGGATCTCGGCACGTACAGTAATGTATTTACTGAAACAAGAGATATGTCATACAGGGAAGTGCTGAACTTGAAAACTGTGGGACGAATATATTGAATGGAGTATATTATATCCTGTATATATATAGTTCCTGCAATTCCAAATGTTACCGCCGCCGCCGCGAAGGAAAGACCGTTATGGGTTCACAAGCTGTGACAACAACCACTCGTAATTACAATTCCCCAATAGTAATCAAGTTGTAAGATTTTGGTTTGAACTAGTGATTTGTCGATTCCTACCTGTAAGTGGAATGAGAAATATAAAGTCTTTTATTCTATGTTCTCTTCAACTTTAAAACATTACCATCATTCACTTTGGTAAAATCTAGCTTTTGCATTAAAAAGTAGAGTTACTTACTTGATGGTACCCCATCTCAACCTAGATTGTTTCCTCATACTCTTTAAGTTTCGTTTTATCGTATGTGAATTACTCGAACGTACATGTCACGCACGTTCTAGTATCAACAAAAGCTGCAGACAATGAAACTATGTCGCGATCGCGATTCTCGACAACAACTTGGCAATTTGAAGAAAATGACTACAGAGTTTCACCTCCCAATAGTGTCAACTCTTAGGAGTGACAAATATTTGCCACGTGCTTCTACATTTTCAACAAAATTATTCCAGTTCACCGACAGAGTTCATAGTAAAACTTCGGAGCATTCTTCACAAGCGAGATGTCCTCACCGGAATACCTTGTAACAGATTTCATAATAGAGTTTCATAGTAAAACTTCAGAGCATTCTTCACAAGCTAGATGTGCTTATCGGAAGATCTCGTGTCAGTGCGTCAGTTCAGAGCAAGATGTTATGCTATCACATAACTCTATCTTTCTCTCTGTAGCAGCATGTAAATGTAAATGTTTCCTTGTACGTTCTGAAGCTTTCATGTCGGATTAGATTATGTTTGAAAATGTTTGAAATTCTTGAATGCCAAGGCTCACGAAGGGTTGTGAAATTTGTATTCATGAAGTTGTCTCGTCTGTTAGGGATGTCAACAGAGTTTCTATTCCGTCTGGTCGAGCTTCGGAAGGAAGAGAAGATATGTCCACAGGTTCTTTCGGGTGGAAAAATGATGGGATACGAAAGAAATTTAATGCTAACATGAATTCAGTGGTGCTAATCAGTTCATGAACGACGAAATCATGGCAATTAATCAAATTCAGATGTAGATCTCAACTTCTTAATAAATTTTTGACGCACTGTCGGTCAAGCGATTGAACTCACCAAACCTGGCAAGTATTTAAGTTTGCCATTGCGTTTACAAGCAAAATTAGTAACAAGAAATAAAAGCATCTGATTCGAGAATGCCGCCAATCATTGTCATTGTATGGTCTTTGTTGGATAACATTCAAGACGGGCTGAATGGCGTCCAACAATACTAAAGTTCTTGCAAGAGCTTGTGTAGAACGAACAGCCTTTAGAGATGAACAACTAATTTCAAAAATGGAGATGAAGTGTCCAAATTCGCAAATCAATCTATACAGTCACAATCAATGATGATTATTTTAATTTTTTAATTTAGATCTTGTATTATAATTTTGATAACGATGAAGTAAAGCTCGAACCGATACTCATACGTAAATTTTTTCTTTCTCTCTTACATCAAAAACTCTTTTGATCTCTCTTACGCACAAATTCTCAAGGAAATTGAAAAGATACATCAAATCAATTGACAAACAGTTTCAAATTTGCCATTGCGTTTACAAGAAGAAGAAGAAACAATAAATAAAAGGTTCTAATCCAATCATTATCATCATCTAGTACTTGTTGGATTAAATTTAGTACGGGCTAAATGGCGTCGAAGAAACTTAAATTTCTTGCTTGAGCTTGTGAAGAACGAACGGTCTTTGTAATGAACAAGTGAAATTGAAACTGGAGATGCAGGATCTAAATTTGCGAATCAATCTAAAACTTCACAATCGATGATCACTATTTTAATTGTTAAGTTTAGATCTCGTATTATAATTTTGATAACGATGGCCTAGAACTCAGACTGATACTCATACAAAAACTCTTTCTTCTCTCTTACATAAGAAACTCTTTACATCTCTCTTACGCATAAACTCTTGAGGAAATCAAAAAGATACATTGACGGATAGTTCGAAAACAAGATGTTGTGCCATCACGTAACTCTATCTCTTACATCTAGACCTGGTAGAAAAACCTTCTCAAGAAATCAAAAAAATACATCGAATCAATTGACAATTCTAGATTTCATAGCAATATGTTATGCCATCACATAATTTTCTCTCTTACATCTAGAATTCGCATATCTTTTGAAAAAATCAAAAAGATACATCGAATCAATTGACATACAGTTATAAATTTCAAAGCAAGTAAACACCTTACAAATTATTATTCAGAGCCTATCAAGTGAGAATTGCAAATTTGATACAGTAATTAGAATTGCAAACAATCTAGATCAAATCTCATGTAGTTGTTTATAATTGTGAAAGTATAATTGCATAAATCAGTCACTGAAGTCAAATTAACATAATTTATTATCATCAGAGTGTCTGGGAACCAATTCTCTCAAATTTTTATTGATGTATCAACGGACGACAAGCTCTTTGAAGATTAGAAATTGAATTATCTTGAAGATCTATAGGTAAAGATGACTAAGTGGAGAAGAAGTTAATCAAATCAGTGATGGCTCTATTTGCTTGCTCAATTGTAACCGGAGTTGATAGTTGGACAATATCATCATACTCTGAATGACTCGCACTTTGTAGTAGGTTGTGATCTTCAAGTACAGACTTGACGATGTCAATATTATCAATATTGTCATTGCCAATAGTATCAAGAGCATCTATTTCAATTAAATTCTTAGCAACTTCTTCAATACTTGCGTCATCAATACCAAGAGAACTTGAGAAAAAATCATCGAGTTGAATTTATTGCAAAATTTCCACTAGATCATCTATCGCTTGATTTGAGCCTATAACAAATCTATCAAAATCTTGATTACAATTCACCTGAGAAATGACACAGAGACAATTGGCTTTCACAAAGCATCTTTGAACGGTATTCTCCTCGAAATTATCTAATGTTGACTTGATTCAACCAAGCACATTGCGAAAATATGTATGATCATTAATTAGAAATTGACAATGAGGTGCAGGTTGAGTCGCGTGCTAGAGTTCATACTAAGACATCAAGTGGTTTTGTTGAGCAAGGCAAAAGTGCGCTTTGAAAGACCGAATGATTCCTTGATTAAGAGTTTGACATTGGTTAGTAACATTCGGTGAAAAAAAATAATGCACAAGTTTTGAAATCGGAAAAAAGTTTCCTCTGATCTGATGGCTCCAAAATCTTCTACGCGCAAACATGAGATGAGCAATTATCTTGCAGTATATAGAAGACGATGTTTTGATTCTTGGCAATCTTGTTGTACTTGTGAAGTAGTCACATATAAGATGATGTATCTTGCCATGCTTTAGGTTCATGATCATAAATAATTCCAAAACTCTTACTAATATCTGGAATATGTTTCAAAGCCCGTGGATGAGCACTCTTTGTTTAAACTTGAGTGATAAATGTCTCACTTGAAGCGCTTACTCCGAGCGTAACGGTGATTTTATCTTTGCTTTTCTTGACACCTCGACCATTTGAATTGGCTGTGCAGTATGACTGTGGTGATGTTGTGCGATGTTGTAAAGCCGATTCATCAATGTTGATAATACATTCGAATGATACATCAATCAACGCTTCACAAATTTCATGTAAACGTTTTTCAACCTGAATAAATTTGAAGTTGTTATGCTCTCCGCACTCCTTCACACTAGATGTTGAGACGCGTTTCAGATATTTTTCCAGCCATGCATTTGAAGCAATAATTGGCTGAAGATGAACAATATTAGATGATTTCAAACATTCTTCAAAGTGATTCACAATCTTGTCTCAAAAAAACAAAACCTTGTTCTTTAACACCTTTCTAGTCACGTTCAGCGAGGGCGCATCAACCTCAACGCGCATATGTCATTGATGCACCATGTTCGTAAGAATTTGCACTCGAGTTAATCTAAAAATCATTTTAACCCCATCTCTTTTTGATTCCAATGCCACCTGCTTGATAACTTCTCTTTGCATCCAAATTTTTGAAAGAGTTTGACGTGCTATCAACAATGCTAATGTTGCTTCATCTTGAGTGACTCCAAGTTTACTGAGAAAATTGAGCACCTCCAATTTTGTCTTGACATCCAAACGCTTACCCTTAGACATTGCAAAATAGTCGTCAACCTTGAAAATGAGAAAGAACGCGTCAAACAATGAACTTGGAGAAGTTTGTGGCTCACGTGGATCACTTTTACGTGTAACTCTACAGTTCAAACCCTGAACCTACGAAACCTCCTCTAAGTGACACCTCCAAGTAGTGACCATTAACTGTAGGACCGGTATGTGTCACTACTGGAAGGTGAAACTCTGTAGCTCACTTTCTAATTGTAGTCCAAGCAAGGCATTGCATAGAATCTAGCCTTGTTCGATCTGTATCCAGTACCTGCACTCGCTGCACCCTGGCATTTTTGAAGGATCCAGATCTATGAGTCTCACTACACAAATTTTTGGAACATTATGATACAAAATATCATTCAAATCAAATCAACATTAATTGATCATCATATAATATTATGGATTTGTACCCATCGGCATGACATTGATGTTGAATGCTGCAAGGCCCTTCATGCTAAGTAGTTTTGCCTGAACGAGGCTAGGAAGCCGATATTAAGTTTGATGTATATTTGCAGTAACTTGTAGATCATACTAATCATAATGTTGTACATTAGGTGGTGCCATGGCTACATGTTTCATCCGTTAAAGCTTGATTTGAGACGGTCATCAATTGGATTAAGTACCTCGATAGCAGGAAATTTAGATCGTCATTAAATTCAAGATTGCAGAGATCCATTAAAGCTCGCATCATATGTGTACACTTATGATAAAACACACGTTTTAGGACTTTGCGATCATGTGTAGTCGATGAGGTCCCATAGAGTAAAACAAAAATTGATATGTCTCATCAAGCAATTTAGGTTCCGATTGAATTCCATCAAGTAAATACATTTAAAAAAATATCATCAATGTTGAAAACAGTTTGCCATAATTACACTTATCATCTTATTTTTTTGAAATTGGATATGTCTTTCATTTCAATCTCACATCACAAATTATATCATTTGTTTATCTGATGTAATTTGTTTTGGATTTGTAAAATCCACTTAACAAGTAAATATGTTTATATGTAAAAACATGATTTCAGACGTATCTATTTTAAGTCCTTTAATCTCATTGATGTTTGTTGTATATCCAATATACTCTCATATAAAATCTCATTGATGTACGTTAAAGAAATCCACATATTCGTTATATATGCAATATACTCTCATATATAATCTTATTGATGTACGTTGAAGAAATCCACATATTTTTATCATCAACGTTTGAACAAAGGATACAGTATCATTGTGTGTCTTCTCTGAAATATCTTTTGTTATGTTTCATTGATAATCAGTCATTTATAAGCTCATAATCACAACTTCAATTTGAAAAAAAAATTCATTACTTTTTGGAAAACATCATCAACTTTACATAGCTTCATCGTTGATTTAAAATTATTTGCTTTGCAATATGAAATAACAATTCAATATGTACAAAAAATATTTAAAAGCAAAATATAATATCTTGGAAAGGTTAGAATAATTTTCACAATGTTTAATTTAAAATATTATTTTTATAGCATTAGTAAAATAACTTAGCTATTTCATTATGATATATCACTCTATGTTTCAGAATATCCTAACTACAAACTGATGTCTCAGTCTGAATTGTACTTCTTTGTACTAATTTAACTGCGGTTCAAAAATCAATAATATCAATTAGCTCAGATGTATGTGTAATCAGATTTACGTTAAAATTATGTATTATGTACTTACAATATAATTAAAAATTGTTACAATAGGAAGTCTCTTGATCAAGAATTCTCATTATTTATAAGAATTTTACATCCCCCATATAGCATGAAATTTTTTATGTACGAATAAACAGAGTTTAATTTCAACTTTCAACACCAAAATTAAAAAAAATTAATTATAAACAAAATTTTAAGTTCAAGCATAGATAAAGCATAATCGAACACATTCCTCGTACTCTTGTATATAGTCTCTATTTATGAAAGTGTTTTATACACGTTGCTTATTTGACAATCAATCATAAATATTTGCAAGATTGAAGACATAATAATACTTTCTTATTATGCACACTATTTTCTTAAACTAGAATTTCTTTAACCATATAACTATAGAGATTAATGTCATATGTGAAGTAAAGTCCAAACCAAAATATGTGTTTCACATTTTTAAAACTCATACTCAGAAGTTTACTTGCAACTTGCATGTGTATACGAACTGAATTAATCGATTAAGAAATAGCAGCCCAGAAATGTTTGCAAGTTTTACTATCTACTTATACATGTTTAGACCTGCAAATATTTATTTCACGTATGTATGATATATATATATATATATATATATATAATATATTATATATACATATATATTATATTTTATATATAATATATATAATTTTATATATATATATGATACTCATTCTTGATATAAGAAAAAAATGATAGTGCCACTTAGTATTTTGGATGGATAAATCATCACTTTTAATAATAAATTAAACTTGATATTGGCTTGGGTTTCGAGTGCCATATCACTAGCGAGGATTGAGTTCGACAAGGAATTTATGTCATAGACTTGAGTAAATTATTTAAAAGTATATCATCGTAACACAAAATATCTACTGGAATCATCAAGTTTTGTTTTACCCTATATGACCCTATAGATGGGACAACTTTGTCAAATTCTGAAACCTGTTTCTGTACATCTTGTACAGAAACATATATGTACATCTTGTACATATATGATGTGAGTTAAAGTGTGAGGGTTGATGGATGGGAGATATCGGTGTTGTGGCTAGATGTTAATTTGTCTTGGTTCCACTAAGCGAAAGCTCAATCTCACCTCGGATTCAGGGTTCGTTAGGTTGATATTGAGTTACATTTCCTTGCCCGAGAATGAATTTTGGGCTGGATGTGAATCTTGGGCACGCAAGTTCGCATTCGTCAATCACAAAGTCGAGTTTTTGTGAGCGAGCTCCCATGGTTTTGAGTCCGAAAAGACTTCTATTCAATCTTTTTGAAGGTCGCTCTTGATCACTTCGAGCATTAGCTTGTTCATCATGTTCACGGGACTCTGCATGCAACATTGCAAGCAGTCCTGATGAGGTGGTCAAACTTGCTCGTCACTCAAGATTTTCTTGTTGATATTGGTCATCCCGTAAGGTCCAAGATGACCATGTGTTCTGAGATAAAATGCTTCAAAAGATATCCACAACGCGAGGGACAAGATACTGCCGGAACCATTTCTCGTCGACACATATGACTTGACACAATTAAAATTGCCTACACCTTCAATTGACGCGAGGGACAAGATACTGCCGGAACCATTTCTCGTCGACACATATGACTTGACACAAGTAAAATTGCCTACACCTTCAATTGACACTAGAGCATAGATGACGTGTGCCATCGATGGGGTACCATCACATAAAACAAAACTTGATAGGTACAAGTAAATAATTTATTTTAGAATGAGGTCCATGAAGTAATTACCACGTTAGACTTTGAAATTTAGTACATTACAAATATATTATAACATTCTTACTTATATGGTGTACATTTTGATTTAGCATATTTTTTTATAACAACCAATATATCTTTGATTGTAAAGACAAAAACATGCATCACATGTTTATGAAAAAGTACAATTGAAACAAACTTTTCAATTGAATTGCATAAAATTTCTAAAATATATAAGTATTTATGCACAATTCTCATCACCTCATACAAAAGCTTTTTTACAAATTTTTAATATACTAAAAGAAATTCCCTTGGCAGTAATTTTATGTTACACTTTTAGCCTTGTTTTACTGTTTACACTCCCATTGATCTTTTTTATTTTGGATATCCCACTTGCAACCAGAAGAATGTTTGAGGATTTATTCAATCGCCAATTTATTTATATCAGGATAGGATATAATGCCGCATAATTTGTTGGTCATCGACTTTTTCATGACTTATTTTAAAGTAGTGTGAATTTCTTCTCAACTTGATCAATTCTTGAGCAGAATATATCATGCTCTAATTTTTTCATATCAACATTTGCATGATTTTCGAATTTATCGACACTTTTCATATCTTCTGTCAGTAGTCTATTATAGAGTTTATGTCCGTTGCAATACTTGGCAATACAATGAAATTTGTATACTAAGTTTTTCTACACATATTTTTTCAAAAGTACATCAAATTATGATATCTATATTGTAATTAATTACCATGGATACTTTTTCAAAAACTATTTATAAAAGATGAGCATGATCGTAAATAATATAGTGTTATTAGTTTAAAACTTAACAAGAGGCGGAAGTAAACTTTGTAAACCACTAACTTAGCCAAACTTGAGGTTATTGAATTTTGGGTTCTTAAGATCATTTGTACCTGTCGAAGAGTGAGATCTAACAAGGATTAACTAGAGTCGGAGGAAGGCTTTCGGCAGCTAAATATTACAGATGATACTCACCATAGCCGCATTCTTGTACAATTATGTGGCTGAGCTCTTGTAAGAACTACTACATCCTACGAGCCCTATGTCTCACAAATTACCTGTATTGCTATCCAGTAAATTGCACTAAATCTAATATTCCCCCTACACGCGCGCATCCAGATGTCTAGAAATGGATTTCAATTAACAGTTACTATTAAGATATGGTGCCTTATTTTTGATCAACCTGACGAGACCTTGACGTGTGCACGTGAACAGATAAGAGCTGATTATACGTTGAGAGAACCTCTTGCCTACCTACTTTCAACGAAACTAGACTAACTTTGTCCAGCATCAGATGCGCAAAGTGTGGACATGTCGTTAAATACTTACGGTGCTCATATGGACCGTAAGACAGGCTTGGGTGCATGTCCTCCCCAAAACTTCCATATGATCAAACTTTAGTAGAGGACACAGTCATAGCTTGCAGACGAATATCCAGGTCTGATCAGAAGAAAACTGATCAATGTCGTCTGTAGTGACTTCGTCCGGGATCCTTGGATAGAACATCGTTTCTCATCGGTGAGGGCAGGTGATAAATCGAGATTTCCGAAACTCTTATCATGTATAGGCATTTTAGACAGAAAACTCGAGCAGCCTTTAGGATCTTAACAAGGAAGCCCAAATTTCCCCGACAGACGTACGAGTTACATCGTACGTCTTGAGCATATATTACAGAAGAACGAACAATATTCGACAAGAACAAAAGCGACTCGGTTATGAGCTTCGATGACCAGGTTCACGAAAAGCAGTATTCGACACAATCAGGATAAAATTCTTCGACGAAGAAAGGCTTGCTCAAGTGAAATTTTCATATGACCCAGATACAACTGTATCCTCGAGATGAAGTGGAAAACACCCACTTCCCAACTCTGTGGCAATGCAGCCACCTACTCTCTGGTTGTAATGTGACTCTACCGCAGTTTGTGTACAATTCATCCAGCCCTTGTATACACGGTCTTCTAAGTCATCCTTCCTGTAAACCCTCTATTTGGCTACGAGTTTTCAGTCACCATGTATGCTACAAGTACTATGAGGATCACCAAAATCTCCACAGTATTCCATGTGGTTCCACTAAAATTGAGGCCTATAATACTGTTGTGGCGGGGGAGGTGGGGGTCCTGAATGATAAGGAGGAAGGTATGGGTAGGTCCGGGGACCAGCACCAGCTTGAGGATAGGGAGGGCGAAACGGAGGTTGTTGAAACTGAGAGTGAGGTCCTGGAGCATACCCGTAAGGTGGAGGAGCATGCGGAGCGCCATACTGTGAATTTTGCTGAGCCGAGTTTGTGCCAGGAGGACCACTTAGATTTGAGTTTTCTGTCTGACCAGAAGACGTCGCCTCCTGACCTGGTGCCACGGCACCCATCCTCTGAGGATCCATGGACGGATAGAAAGGTCTCTCAGAAGGTGGTGGAGGGGGAGGTATGTTGAAGTAATTCAGTGGAGGCTCTTCCTGCATTTGTTGACTGTGTTGTTGTTGCTGGGATATGACCGCTCGTGGGAGCATTCCTCCATGTGAAAGTATTCCTCCAACGTTGTGCTTGCCTGATTCGTCATCCCCGCCCTCTGTTTCAGGCTTGGGTAACTGAGGTTTACCCCACATTAGCTTCAACCTCAGCCCCTTGATCACCAACTTATTCGCAAGGTGATCAGCAGCCTTCTCCGCACCCTCACGGTTGGTGTAAGTGATGAAAGCACAAGCTCTTTGTGAGACCAATCTGATACTTTCGATCTCACCATAAGCATAAAACTGATCCTTGAGGTCTTCCTCACCAATCCGCTGGTCCAATCCCCCAACGTATAAGGTCTTGATGCTCTCGTCCTCAGGTGGAACAAGGGATGGCATTTCCCCTGCTTTCCTTAACAGTTTTGCAGCAACAGGATCATTCACACTGAGACAAACAATAAGACGGAAATGTGTCAGCATACCAACACCCGAACATGCGAGAAACATCGGTGAAGTTTCTGGCATAATTGGCTGCGTTAATACCAGAGTTTACACCAAAGCCTAGTGAATTACAGCGTTATGAGGAGCTTGAAACCTTTACAATGCCACCAAAAGCCCCTCTTACAACGGTATCATACACCGTGTAAATGTAGGTCAAATAAGTGCGCAAATATTCACACAAACCCTACTCTATCAATATCTATCTACATGGATGACTTTTAGCCCAGAGCTAAGTACTTCCATTCTCGAGAAGTTCCTTTAAGGAAGCACGAAAAGACGAACACAGACGTAAAAGTCGATCGAGATTCAATGATACGTAAAATGGGGGGAAAATACACACCCGTAATAACGATCCTTTATGTTTTGCTGAGAGAGTTCTCCAGTAACTGGCATTTCGTGTCTGTAAGGACACTCAGCTCCCCGAGTACATTCTCCTCGAACATAGAAACTACAAATGTGAGCTCGATTTCGTTTGTAATAAGGTGTCGTTCTTTGGAGTTTCAAAATTGTGTCATTCGGACGTGCCTTTCCGTAAGATGACTCGTAGTCCAACCCTGCTCTCGCCTGGAGTTTGCAAAACACCCACTTTAGGCTCATCTCAACATTCGACCTCACCAACAGCAGAAATATTAGGGTTCCCACGGGATAAGACAACAAAATAAAATCTCTTTATATTGATTGTACCTTACGATCTTGCTCTTCTGCAAAATACTCCCGATTGACGTCGCTCTTCGGGATGGCGTCACTCGTGCTTATACCGAGAGCAGTATCTCGAACTTGAACGGGCAATCCATACTCCAGGTCGAGCAAGCAAACTTGACAAACGTTCTTAAGTTTGCTACATGTCTGGCAAACCTCTGACTTCTTGTAACGAGCATCACGTCCAGGTCTCCACCGAAAGACCGTAAATGGTCTGGTGCAAATTTTGCACTCTTTATCGAAATTGGCTTTAGTCTGCAATCAGAAATTATTTCAGCGGCTTCAAACCCACAAGCTACAAATGCGTAACCTCTTCATTACGACATGCAAAAATGGACGCTCCCCAGCTCTGGCAGATAAACTAAAGTCAGCTGCACGTTGAACCAATTCTTCCCATCCAACATTCCTCTCTCACTCCAACCATCTAACGAACATTCTTAATCACTGAAACATTGCAAGTCAAGGCAGAAATCAGTACCATTCGAACGTATGGATTATCCCCAAGACAAGATTCGCAGATGATGGGAAAGTCTGAGCGTTCCCATCCATCGGCCTCAACATCCCTGAGGAGCCGATGCGCCATTCCGAGTACCGCACGGCGTTCAGGTCGCAAGTCCGCCGAACCCTCGATGCACTTCCAGACTCTAGTACAGAGCCTCTACCTATTTTCTTCGCTGTACACTCCTCTGAACCCTACGCACGAGCCCAAATTTTGCACTATCGCTCTCTCTTTCTCTCTCTCTCGCGTTTGCCCGTGAAAACGTCTCCCTGTGTCGGTCGGTCTGTGAACATGGCAATGCGCTCCGGATGCTGTGCACTGCGGATGCAATGCGCGGGTAGTCCTGTGCTGTACTACTCCCCACAGACGACGAGGCTGAAAGCGAGACCTGTGGGCTCCACTGCTCTCGCTCCCCACAGAGAGCGGGCTCTGAGCTCTGGCGTGCGATTCTTCGCCCGGAAGTCATCTGTCGCGTACCCTTCCCTCTCTTTGCAGCAGAAGCTTCGGCATTGAGCTCGGGCCCGAAGAAGTGTCCTTCGGTAGAAGAAGCGCCATCCCATTTCCCAGATCCCTCGGATTCGGACATGAAGTTTAAAACCATATCAAGACCAAGAACTCAGCCCATGAACAAAAGTTTAGTTAAAAAATTTGATGGAAATAAAAACGTATAAAATTTTGCGACTCGTGACTAAAGTCATTTTTAATTATTGAGTTGTCTTATTTAATTCCAAACAAAATCTTTAGATGTTTCTTACTATGTATTTATCTCATTCTTCATCCTTGACGTCCATTTTCTTAAATACAATTATACTAGTGTACTCATTTGCTTTCTTAGGCCGAGGTCTCCTGTTTATTTTCTTCCTTGTTATGCTTGATGGGTTTCTCTTTAAAGTTTTTATATCCATGTGCCCAAGTCTTCTTCTTATGTGAATTCTCCTTCTTAAGTAGTTTGAAACCTACTTCTTCTTTTGCATGAGAGCACTCTGTAATGTCTCCACGACTCACACATTTCTGCAAGGGTAGCATCTACGAGATGAGTTAGATTGACAAGTTGAACATTTCTACAGCTTTCCAATAGTTCAGAAAATGACTTGGATCTTTTGACTATAGCATTATTTCACTTCCAACCAGAAAACTTAAGTTCTTTGGATGTTTGGCTAGATTAACGAATGGAAATCGGTGCTTAATTCTTGAAGTAGTTTCAGATTAGTTTTGACATTCGTGTTGTGGCAATACAAGTTTTATCTAAAAAATACATTGCTAGCTTATTGAATATTCAAACTTATAATCTATTTATGTCACCTCACATTGTATCACGATAATCATTTTCATTTACAAAACGTCCATAAGTATATATGCTTCATGATCAAAACGTAACAAAAATTACAATGAATCCAAATCTTCTCAATGATACAGGAATTTGTGTTAATATACTAGAAAATCTGTGGCAAATATGCATGTTACATAATTCAAGTCAAAAACTAGAATGCTTTGATGTTAACATATTTAAAACTTACAATCGTTATGGGCATTTTTAAAGATCTGCATAATCTATCTTCGTGTATGCATCAATCCAACTAGTAAGAAATGATATAATTTCCAATAATCACACACTTCATCTTTGAGATATGTCTTTTTGGAATATGTCCAAATAAAATTACTTTCATATTTTTTTATGTTTTAAAATCATAGAAAATTCCTGTCAAGGGTATTGAAATTTAAGAAGATAAAACCAGGATCGTATTTTTTCCACATATTTTTATATATGCTAATTAATACTACAGCACGATATATATATAAATTTATATTGTGCTGATTCATACATCAGCACAAGTCTATCATCATAATTTTTATACTCTCAGAATGTAAACACTATAATATTTCATTTATGATCATAATATATATTAAAATGTCTAATAGAATCAACTTCACTTTTTGATTTAAATATTACATATTATTGCACTTTCTATTTTTAATCATAACATACATTAGAGTCTACAATTCAATCAAAGCCAATTTGTGTTACAGATATTTGAAGTTTTGCATTAATATTAAACTTCAAAAGTTTTATGTCTTGTGAGAAGAGCATCAAATTCACTAATTACAACATCAATGGCAAAAAATCTTTCAGTGCAAATAACTCAAACTGCTTAATTTGGTCTAATAATATAGTTGCAAATGCTTAACTATCTAATCATTGTATCATACTCATTAAAAACACATCTTATCGAATATAATGCAAATTGTTATTTTAACGTCTTTTTAAATCATTATGTATGATCTGATAAATCAAGAAATATGATGAAATTAATTTATTAAAATAAGTTTAAAAATTGAAATAGCAATTCGATTTAGATTTCTTCTTGATAAAAATTTCGAAGGAAATTTTATTTATTCAAAATAAATATCTTACATGTAGAAATTTTAACTTATGTGCAATTTGAATTTTTTGATGAATAAGAATTGAAATATACAAATCACAATAGCGTAACAATTAAACAGCATTATTTTATTTTTAATATAATCCAGAAGATCAATCTTGTGACATTTTTTGTAAATTATATATGTAGATATATCATTCTTATTTGTAGATCTATCAAGAGCATTTTGCAACCTAATGCTGGAAATGAACGAGGTAACATATACTGTACACCTTCACCTTAGTATCTATCCTTCTCTTTTATGTCTATGACTTTTGGTGGTTGATCTTCCTAACCATGCAAGAATCCACCACAAGCTACAACGCCCAATGCGGCAGTTTATCCCATTTGAAGTATAGGACGGTGCTTGCAATGACATGAGAGTATACAACAAACTAATCAAGTGAACACGACTTTGAGATTTATTCGGGGAGATAAAGATGAGCTATTTTCTCAATACCAACAGGAGGTGATAGATATTTAATAATAAAAAATCTAAAGTACATAGTTTTGTAAAGATTTTATTTATTCTTTTTTCTAACATTGGGATGTGATAGAAAATGAAAGAGTACAGTACTTGATAGCTTATCATATTAATCGGAATTGACATCAATTTTTTTGCACATATTAAGTACAGTATTTAATACAGCATTAGATTGGTCGGCATTCAGTATCCATTCTTTCAGTAAATTATATAAACTACTTTAAACAACAAAAGCAAAACTTTATACAAAGATCATTCAATATATACAATCCACAAGAACAATAACCAAAGAGGATGAATTGTTATGCTTATTATTTATATATATATATATATATCGTATAAATTCGTATTGAAAAACATTTCATGTCATTGATAATTTAATTAGGGTTGCTCATTATTGGATATTGAAGTTTCTAATCACACTAAGCTGGCAAACAACTTTGCCATAACCTTTTATGTATTGCTAGATGCCCTCTAGGCGTGAAGGTGTTGAAAACAAGCGCGTTCAAACTCGCATTATCACAAAATCTCTCCGTCTAATCCAATACGTGCGCACCCTTTGCATGGACGAGTTTGTAGTGCATTTGACCTCCCATGTGACTTCCCTTACTAATCCTCTTACGTGCGAATGTCACCATCTCACCGCACACATTTTTCTCCGATTCTACGATCAAGGCGGATCTCATTGAACACTTGGTTTTTGGATGATAGCTTGATGAGGTTGGATGCACCCCACCAACGCTACTTGCGGCCTTTCCCTCCTCGTGAAGTTGTCAGAGTTTTGAGCTTTTGACTCTATTGAGCTTTCGGGGTGTTTCATGTGAAGTGGGTTGCGATTCAAAGGGAACCCACATGTGCAAAATGCAAAGGTGAAAATCTTCTTCCTGTGCTTGTTAATGCGACCGAAGTGTATATGTAACATAAAGAGAGTATTGAAATTCTGTGATGCTCTTGAAATATACTCCAAGTTTTATCATGTCACATCTAAGCATTTCCTCATAACGAGATGAGAAAATGCTTACATATGTAGCGGAAGTGAGAGTTTTACTCTTTTGGAAGATGGGAATGAGTCGATCCGATCACTTACATTTCTTGTTCAATCACGACGTTTGAACAAGAAAAGCTTTTGTGTATAAGATAGTAAATTTTGCTCTGAGTGTGAGCTTTTATCAATGAATTATCAAATATCCGTGCATGACACCATAATAATTACATTTGATGGTACAACTTATGTTTAAGAAAATTTAAAAAATCATATCAAGCCTTAGAAGAACGAAATAAATTGTTATATAAAGATAAATAAATCAAATTATTCACAAACAACAATCATTTTTATAAAGAGGCATTGTAATGATCTAAATAAAATATCTATGATTATTCTAAATCTTGGTGTGTTCAATATATACTCATTTAAGTCCACACTTTGATTTGCAAAGGTTGGTGAGAACTTATATGGAATGCAAATTATAAAAAATACATATATACATATATAATATTTAGTAATATTAGAGGTTTTGAGATATAATAATGAGATTTAAAGCACGAAGTAGGTTCTGGTTAGTTCATTTTATACAATGAACTAACGAGCAAACTTCTAAGAGTAGGGATCAAGGCCAATGTCTGAATGATTGTATGGAAGTAATCAATTTATTAGAAACGTACATGCGCAACATTGTTAAACAATTTGGTGTTAATGAATATTTTTTTTGAATGATAAAGTCTAGCAAAGATGATTTTCGTGAACAAATACATAGTATCCATCAAGCCACTAAGGAATCAACATTACGTGCTTCTCAATCAATGTTTTCTTATGTTAAGAAGAAGCTTCTTGAATGAAATAATGCAAGACGACGAGCTTTGTTTGTTTTGACTTCCAGTGACATTCCGACCGCAATGGAGATTATTGATGATATATTCAAGTCATCTTGATGTTGTTTTGTAAAATTTTGACATCGAGATGATTTAAACGGCATAAATTGTATAGAGAAGATGACGAGGTCGACAAAAAAATCCAAAGACGTTGAATGTTTTGGAAGACTTGACTCTCTTGATTGGCCAATATATTCCCAAATGCGTTTACATGATGGAAAAAATTGGGTTGTTTTTCCAAGTCCTTTCATGACATATTGTGCTAATGTCTCATGAAGATTTGACCAATATCAAGAGCAAAAAATGGGCAAAAAAACATGGTAACATTGATGGTGTGTTGCAACTCCAGTTAATTTTTTTTATGTTACACAATGATTGCAAAGGTGAAGTAGTTGCCTGCATTTTTTGAAACACTTGGCCCATTTCTTATTTTCATAAAAAAACGCTTGGATCAATGTCACGACATTCAATAAATAGTTTAATGAGATCTTTGAATCTTATGTATATTGACCAACATGACACAATTTGACAACACTCTTAGTCGTACTACTGCTTTTGAGCGCAATGATATTTGTGTTGCATTCTTTCCGCCTAATGTACTCTCTTGGAAGTAGTAGAAGTATATGAGTATTATCGCAGTTGTAAAAAAGTAATAAAAGTATCTTCTGCTAAAATATATTGTAACATGTTATGATAATACAAAAATACTTAAAGACTAGTTTGCATTAGAAGCTTTGAAATTCAAACGGTGGACCACTAGGATTGCTTGCTAAAATTCCTCACATTTGTTTGATGTTGCAAACTTTGCAAATGCTACTTCAAACAAACTTTTTAAAAAGTATTGATTGCTTGAAAAATTACTAAATGAAAGCAAATAATATTCCTAGATTTGGCAGCGCCGATAATACCAACTACGACGATGATGCCACTATTGTTGAACTGATAAACAGCTGTAACTTTTTCGATGGGTATGGCAAAATCGTTGTTTGGAGTGAAATTGAGAATTGTTTGAATGATGATAACCATGAGTAACCTGACTATAAGGAAGTTTTTCAACTCATCGACAATGTTAATTTGACTTTATACGATGAGGTTGACATGGTAAACAAGTTGATTGTAATCGTGTAGCGATTTTTGCAGCAAAGTGTGCACAATCATGTGGGCGATCGAGGTAACGACAACATGCGAACACATCAAGTGTGTTACTCCACTCAAGTGTGTTATTGGACAATGTTTTTAGAAGTTAAGAGTAAATCTTGAACTTGTTGTGCTAGCAATGTGCATACGAACATATCAAACGTGTTCTTCCACTCAAGCGTGTGATTGAACAATGTTCTTAAAAGATAAAAGTAAATCTTGATCTTGTTGTGCCAACGAACATCACACGGGAATAAAACCATTAATGTGTTGATACACTAGAGGTCGTCACGCTGACTACATAGATTTCAAACGTCATTTCATTGAATTCTTTATCCTCAAATTTTGGATATATTCATGATGATAATGAGACTTCGCAGGTGCGTTAGAAAAAATTGCTTGAGGAAATTAATTTTTTTATGAATGCTATTGTTTTGGATACTATCGTTAAATCTGAGTTTAATGAATTGAACCAGGCCACAAAGATACTAATATGGATATGTGTGATGTGATTTCTCACACAGTGTTAAGTGTTATCAAGTTTAAGATTGAAATGTGCGAGTTACTCTATCATCGGAGCAGATTAATCACGTTAAGGCATGACTACTAAATCTGGAATTTATTAAAAAATCCAAAAATTAACCAAAATTAAATATTGACAATTGAATTAAGAACATCTTGATCACAAGTTTGAATTTGTCACAATCAGGATTACGTCACGTATTCTTTATATTTGTACAAAAATCTCTCTCTCGTATATATCTGAGATTCACACATGAGGAAGTTAAGTAACGTCGAATACTAACCTGCGTAGGAATTTCCAAAATCCCAATATTAAGACGGTTATAATCCACTTTGATTAGTCGGTGGAACATGGTCCAGTACATAGTATTGGGGTGAACTGCTAGTATGAAGGAGTACTTTGATTACTCGGTGGAACATGGTCCAGTACCTAGTACTAGGGTGAACTGCTAGTATGAAGGAGTACTGGGCATTACATTGACGCATGGAGGGTAACTTGGAAGTGATTGTCTGTACGAAAACTGTGTACGGTTTGATTTACAATACAGACCGTATCACATTGATGGTCCGTGTCAGAGTCCGATTGGTTTGTGGTAAGATCACGTAAACCTCGCTGTCCTGAGCATTTGCGCATGAGTTGTGCGGGAACTCGTGGTTCATTACGAATTCGTTACTGCGAAAATCGCTAAATCTTTTGAGTTCCAAAGGTTCAGGAACTGACGACAAGCCACAGGAGCTCCACTTGGCGATTACACCCACACCGAGGTCTTGTGTCTCTCTTCGAGGACTTTGCTTCTTGTCATCGAACGGGAGCAGTCGAATTAGCACACGACCAGAAGTTTGCTACAAAGTCAAATGTATCGTCACATGTTGCCACGTCAAACACAGTATGCCTTCCGACAACAACACCGGATGGAGATCAGAGGGAGACAGAGCAATAAGTGGTTGGTTTCCGCGTTCAATTCAGTGGGAATCAGAGAATGTCTTGAACGTGGAAATTCGTTCAACTAGCTGCACTTGACTTTTTGAAGTCGACGTGAGGCACTGCTTGTCGTTGAGTGGTAACGATTCTAGTACGAACATATTTAAGCTGAATGTGGTGTTTGTCTCCCTTGAGTTATTCACGACAATCAAGAAGTACGAGGGAAATCCATATTAAGTACCCGCTGGGATTTTATCGCTGAGGGTGCAAGTTCATGTCACGCTCATGTCTCTCAGGGGCAAATGGGTTCAAGAGCTAGTTAAATAAGAAATCCATTGAAATTGAAGCAGTATCGGCATAAAGAGTCATTCCCTCATCAGAAACCACCATCAAGTTGGACGATGCTAGTGCCTCGTCAGGAGTCTGGCCAGATCATTCCATACCATAACCTTGGCTCACGCAACTCAGATTTATAGTAAAACGCATTGATAGTACAAGGGAGCTTCAGAGTAATACGCCGATTTCTATAACTCGATGGGCCTTAAAGTTCCGCTTCTGAGTGGAATGACGATGTGCTTCGATACAACAAAAGACGAAGAGCATGTGCAAGCGTACACCTGAGAGTTGAGATCGGACCTACTCAGATAGTGGTCACTCTGGAGTCCAAGGTATGGACGGATAGAGAGGAGGTCAAGGGGTCCAAGAGTTTGGCCCAGTCTTCGACACTCCATGTCTCGTCTGCTGAAACGTAAATCCCATTCAAAAGAAAGCTGGGAGTGGACGTCACGTATCGGGCGCATCCGTACTGCACAACAGAGACATCCTCATCAGAAATCTTCCGTCTAAATGCGCGAGAGAGTCAACAGAGAACGGTGGGCTTTGAAATCTACAAAGTCCAGTGAATCAGGTATAGACTAGAAAATCGTTTTACCATGAGACTCCTTCAAAGGTTCCTGCACTCCCTGCGACTGAGCGCTGCTCCTGCCTTGCCCTATTTTACGCCCTAATATGAGCGAGAATCTGGTTTCTAGGCCAGAAAGAATTCCAGAATTTGTTTGTGAGAGAAACTTACTTTGAACGAGATTCGCGTCGCTTGGTCAGTGTTCGAATCGGTGAACCCAGCTGCAAACTCGTCCGCAGGCAAACCGACTTCTGCTGCTAAGCCCACGAACCGTGAGACCACACTCGCAGGAGTCTCGTCATTGGTTGCATCGTTGAGGAAGGAATCCTGATTTGTTCAATTCCGCATTAGCTAAATGAAGGAAAGTAAGTGTGAACGTCCGCGCGTGTTTGCAAATTGGAAACAAAACGAATCGCACCTGTTTCTTGAATATGAGCTCCAGTAGAGGGAAAGTGGAAGATGAGTTCAAGCTGGAGGCTATGTGCAAGGCCCTTGCTGCAAAGAAGGCGTTGTGGTGAAATCTGCGCGTAGAAGTGTATAATCAGATGGTGCATACTGACGATGTCATTCATACAACTACTGGAACGAGTGTAAGGAATGGGAGACTTACGGGACAGGAAAAGGATGGACGATGAATGATAACGACGATCCATAGATGCTTAAGACTTTGGTGACAGTAGGCCAAGCGATCTTGCAGTCGATGCATATAGGATCGATGAAAGCTTCCAGTAAGACGGGCTCGGGAATCGAGCGAGGTGGAATTCCGAATCCGTCATAGTGCGCAGGAATTGGAATCGCTGCCACCAAGCTTACAGAAATTGCGCACAAAACCAAACAAAAGACAAGATTGCGTCGTCCCGCGACAATGGTCTCCATTTTCCAGCTCGTAGTCTATTATTCTGCTCTGAGCTAAAACCCCATCCACCGCCCGGCATACATAGAGACTATACGAGCCCCGAGATGGAATGACCTTACCTACCTTCCGATAAGAAAATAGATTAGAAGAAAAGCAAGTCAGACAGGCTTTTTACACGGCTTCGGTAGACGTGGTTCCTTCCAGTTCATTTAGGGGTTCTTTACAAAAGCGGTGTTCAATTACTGTTCTTGAGATCCCGCTTCTGCAGTAAGTAGAACCGTCCCTTTACAAAACAGTGGAGTACCAAGTATTAATATGAATTCTTGTTTTAAATGCTTGGCGTTGAATTGGGGTCTAAACGGAGTGTAATAAATGCAATCTAGTGGCCATGTATCGAAAGCAACTCACAAGATATTGTAGCGATTTGTTCTCAAGATATTCTAGCGATTTGGGACGCAGTATCATGACTCTCATTAAATTCTCGTTATTTTTTTCTGTCACATGGAGGTGAGTAAGGATTTGGGACGGAGTATCATGCGTTATTTTTTTCTGTTACATGGAGGTGAATAAGGATTTGGGACGGAGTATCATGCGACTTTCGTTAAATTCTCGTTATTTTTTTCTGCTACAAACATGGAGGTGAGTAAAGTCTACTACTCTCATCAAAATCTCGTTATTTTTCTCTGCTAAGTGGAGGAGGGTAAGGTATTCTATTTTGATTGAGTTTATAGGCAGGAGTACAAATCTGGGGGGTCAAATATTGGCACGCAGATCATCTCGCAGTTCTTGACCCCCGGTTTTGTAAAGAACCCCTTAGTGAGGACGTCGTTTTGGTACGTGAAGCTTGAGGTTACTGTCGTGTTCTGGCCTACGTCGCGAATGTGCATAAATTGTCCTCCGGCTTACCGCGTAGGACAAGGAATGATGGGCTAATGAGGCTGGGCCAATTAAAGGGATAGGAGTTTTTGTCCTTGAGCTGAATCATGGGCAACGTGACATTCTGTTTCAATGTGCAGAAGGGATCAACTTGAGAATATTGCAGACCGTAACTCCACGAGCCGGCTGGTGGGATAGTAATGCGGCCTATGTAGATAACATGTTTTGGAGCCCTGAACTTTGCCTACTTCAGGCAAACATCGATAGCTGCAATTTCAACCACAGAATCTTTCGGGAACAGACGACTGAATGAAGAGAAGACACCCCAGAAACCGAGAGAGCTCATGTTACAGAAATTGTAGTGCTTGAAAACACCGGTTTCATTGTGATATCTTAATAATTGCCTAGCTGTAGTATACAATTTGGAACTAAACTACTTTCTAGTACCCATTAGGGCTTTGCTGCGTAATAAGACCATGTTCAAGTTGATTGAAGGACTAATCAGCTCTAGAGAAGAGGAACAGTTGACCGCGCCTCCCACGGTTGATGCGAATGTGATTGTCTACATAAAGTACGCCCCACTCAGCTCTCTGCTGCAACGAGCGAGGTATAGCTATATCGAATTGAGGCAAATCATTCAGAATTTTGTTCCCAAAAACCTCAAGTGGTCGTGCAGAGAAGGTGTCGAATGATACTAATGCCATCTGTCCGTCCGCCAAATTCTCCCATACGCCTTGCACGGCTATTTCCAGGACTCCGAAAGGGCCAAATCTGTGCAGAACCATTTCCAACCGTCATGACAGCTCTTTCTCTTTATTCCTCCTTTTTTACTGAAGTCGAAAAGATTGAAATTTATGCGCAAGATTTGAGCACTCCTCATGAGGGAGATTTCATGAGCCAAAAAACTGCAAGACAAGATGTGGTACTGATAACTCAGTCCATGTTGACGTACCTCACTTCGGCCGTGTTGCGGGCTGATAGAGGTGAAGTCAAGTCGTTCACGACCGCTGATCTCATGCTACTCGATTGCCACACTCTCTGACGTATATTATCAAGAGCAATACCAGGTAGCTGGGGTAGCTCCTGATCTCCACCGTTGTCCCCAGTCTCGGATACATATCTGAGATGAGGACCAATTTGTCAGAAGACAGATCATTATCTTGATGGTGTATACTAGAATGAGAATGGTGGCTTTGTAAGCTTAGAAGAGTACAATAAGAAAAAGTATTATAAAGGAAGGAGATGGAACCTTTTGGGCACACATGTCCATCTATATTTCACAGGATTCAATCCAAGGGAAAGGAGAACCAAGGTTATACAACGGGTTCTGCATGCAGGATGCACTTGACTGATGGTGTAAATTACAAATCTGCGAGGCTGTCATGGTCACAAACTAGACGTTCCAAGACTTGCCAACAATAATGCCTGACCTAATACGCAAAGTTCTGCAAACAAAATCCTGTAAGTAGACACAGATCATATATGACGTAGCTATGCTCAAAATTAAAAACATCACTATTAAAAAGAGCTAAATGAGATATAGCAAAAGATACCAGTCAAATAAGGTGAAGTTTTGATAAGCCACAGGGAGGCAAGAAGTAGGCTGCCCATCAAAACGAAGGTGTACTTGACGACATCTATATATCAGTCACTATATTAATATTAACAGTGTAAGGCCAGATTTGAGAGCCAACTTATGCTAGAATCCGAGTTCCCTCTCTTCTTCTCCACGGACGCAAAACGCTATTTCGTCAACTTGTCAGTCCTTGAAAGAAAGTAGTCAGATACGTTGAGATCCTGAATATTCGACATATAGAGACTCTTCTCCAGGAGAACTACGTATCGCTGAAATAGTTTTCTGGTAGCAAAAGAGGAAACCATGTACACTTACATCAAACGCCAATCACCGTCAATGGTCGGGGTAGGTGCAATATACGCCATAGGTTCGTTTGGATCAGAGGACGCCGAGATACTCGACGCAACCTCGGGAATGAGGAGTAGTGTATCGTTGACAGGGTTGAGAGCTTGCAACCTCTCGAGAATTTCCTGTATCCGTCTTCTTATCAGCCCCGACTCTCCCCTTATCCGTGGTGGCTGTAAGGCCATCTGCGAGGATGAAGGTGAGTACAGTGAAGAATTAACAACATCTCTATAAGTAACTTGAACTTGCAAAATAACAACAACGCCAAGATTTGATTACGGCACTGAGTGCCAGTGTGGTGTTCTCTAAACCACCACAGCAGGATGTGGTTCACAAATAAAAGTCTACGTCTGCACTTAAAAGTGCGTAGTTATAGTTTGCAGCGGTCAGGGCATGTTACAAATCTCTCAACCTCATACCGAACCTTTTCTAAGCTCTCCGACCTAACACCTTCCTGCAGTGAGAACCTGAGTACAGCGTATAGTTGTAAAATAAACCGACAAAAATTACATGCATTAGGCATGAATATTTATTCGAATGATCTACATATGCTGGACGACCCATTCTCCTTGAGAATCTTATAAATGATTGTCATCTATTTGTCTCCCTCCTAAGTCAGTTTTCTTCCTTTCAAGTGGCATGTAGTTACGGGTAAAACATCTGTCGTTTGTTCCAAACCTTCATCCTGGCTGAGAACAACAGTTCCTTATATGCTTTGTCCATCATGAAACTTGATGAAGAAAGCAGCCTGTTCATCCGGCATTTTCCCGGAGGCAAATCTACGAAGATTCAAAGTAGGGTATAGCTTGAAGTTTTTACCTCACCCAACGAGTTGACTGCATCAAGCAGAAGCATTCTCAGCTCAATTCGCTCTAGCTCCCGCTTAACTCTCTCACCTCTGACTTGGGCTTCCGCGCTGATCTCGTCTGATTTAATCTGGTCTTCTCTGAAGAAAGAAACCGTAGACCGATTTTAGAGTCTTAGCCTTTTATTACGGCCCTATTCATTTTACTTCTAGGGTTTTACACTTTTCTTCGGCTTGCCTACGTTGAGGCTGCTTAGACTCCTACAACCTCCCAAACATCTATCACTGTCGAAACATGCGTACAAGAATCAGTTGTTGGGAATATCAGATAAATAAAGAGAATCTGCTCATTGAATAAGTTTCTTTCGTCCGATAATTCTATTATCAGGTACCACGCGCTGGGAAAGATGAACGGACGATGTAAAAGGTGCTTAAAGAAGCTGTTTCATTACCTCGCGCGCTCATCCGACTTATCCTTGTTCCTCTTCATTTGCCTAACCAATGTAGAAACATGATAGTACTTCGTTAGTACAGAACCAGGTTGGAATTACAAAATGAAAGAAACTTCCAAAAGCTCCTGGTGTGAGCACAGGATTTTAGCCCAGACTATATTCTCAAAGAAAGTACAAAAAGGATGATAACTTGTGTAGAAACCATCATAGTTAAAAATAAATGGTGGCATGTCAAACAGCAAAAAATGATCATCAATCTCGTATAATCAACTGGACCAGTACAGACACACAAAATTTGCTTACAAGATAGTAAGCTGCGACAGGATGATAGCTTTAAGTAATCGGAGTTTTTTAAGAATGATACACATATAATCATTCTTGATTCCGATTGTTCCAAGTTTGAGAAATGCACACATAGTTACTGATATTTGAAGGTGGAAGTGTTCGAAAACATACCAAGCCATTGGAAGAACAACCAGAGGTGTCAATATAAGCCACCTCTCACCTAAAGTCACCAACGCTGAAATTTCAAAAGCTGCAAACTGCACAGCGAAAATGAATCTTTTTTTAAAAAGCAGGAGATCACCGTGCCTTCCGCCACAAGCATCATACTTTCGTTTCCGGTGGACGAGTGAAAATCCTAGAAAGTGTCATATGAGTGTTAACACTGACCACACATTCATTGAGAGATAAATCTCATTGTAATGCTAAAACACCTTACGATGGTGCCATGAATATACACTTTGAATTAAAGTACACTTCCTCAAATGACAGAAGAACTACCAATCAGTCCCGGTAAAATAGTTTTTAAATGTGATAAGCTTACTCTCTCCAGTCCAGCCTCAAGAAAGGTTTGAATGCTTGCTCCCGCAGACTCGGACCAAGCACCAGGATTGAAGTTAGTGACCTGCCACAAGGTTAAAATACAGTGTGAGACAATCGTCGTAGCATCAGCTTTTATTGCTGCGTGCCTTCCAATAACACAAAGTATTGAATATCACCACTGTGAGCAGTATCTGAGACAGAGAAAAGTCAACCAGACAATTTGCTGCTCCTCCTTCATTCGTCTGAACGGAATGATATAAAGTGTCCAACTTTTAAACCGCCTTACCACATCGATCAAGTTCGACCATGAACCCTGCAAGGTTTCCGTTACAGTCTTCCTCAGCTCCTCCGGGATGTCGGTCTGCACGATGAGAAGCAACATGATATCAATAGGGCAGCCTCGCTCACCACGTTAGTTCACATGGAAACGAGTAATCTCCTGCTTTGTTCCAATACTCTGACCTGGTAATAACCCATACTGTGATCCAACATTGTGGCAAGATACACACTTCAACGCTGGTTTATTGTACGAGTCTGCGGGTGCAGGCATTGAAAACTTCCTAGACGCTGGACTTGAGAGTGGCCAAGCCTCAATAACGTGCTACAGGATGCTAGATTGTATTCAACTATTCAGAAAGTATTATGTCGGTGGAAAAATCAAGACTTCTTCTTAGAACTGCTCGACGGTTCTAAGTGGTAAAATCAAGTCTAAAGCAGGAATCATCCACTTAAGGTCCTACCTCGCCCCTGATGAAAGCTTCCACCTTTTGGTCCAAAACTTCTGGATCAACCTGCATGATTCACGAGGCGATTCAAACGTCTATCTTTCGTGACAATTTCCAGTGGTGCACTCATGAGCTTTGAACCGTTGAGCTCGTGGCAAGCTGAATGGACGGACAGCTTGCAGAATGTATCAAGATTGTCTTGGCTCAGAGATGCAAAAGCGTTGGCAATGAGCATCTTAATCTCTCACTAACTTCCCTCGAGTCATATTTGCACACGCATTCTAACCAACATCTCACGAGGACTTCCATAATTTGAAAGGGTTTGATGACTGTGATTAAGTGGGAAACGAAACGAGATAAAATGAACTGACGTTTTGCAGAGACAAGAAGAATTTTTCTCACAATGGTTGAGCCGGTCACGACAGTCAGTGCTTTGTCGAGCACTTGAACTCCTGCCTCTCCATCGAAGCGAATCTGATTTCAAACAAGAAGCAGAAAAACTGATGAGGTCACGATGCTTGAAGTAAACCAAGAAACGCTTGATGATTTAGCGACATTATTTTCTATTCATCTACCAACCTTATAAAGGTGAAGATATACGACTGACGTATATTGACAGCAGATCACGCAAATATTCAATTTTTCAGATAGCAACCACGGTTTGAACGAACGTACCTTGCTTAGGCCCTCAACTGCTCGTTCAAATATCTGGCCAGCTTGTCTAATCTGCAATCAATCAGAGCAAAACAAGGCGTCACTGTTTCTTGAATTTTGGAACTCTGAGAATTAGCCAAAACTGTGGACAGCAGACTCATAAAACGGACCAAGATTACCACAAGAGCGAATGAGCTTCTTTCAAAAGAATACCAACGAAGCAAACTCCAGGTAAATTGAAGGTGCTAGGAGAAATTTCCTCGCACAAGATATAAAACTGACCTGCCCAAGCCTCTCGAGTTGAGAGGCTTCTGCAATGTTGGTATACACAAGTTCAGGTGCGTAGAGAAACAACATACTAAGTCCAATTGCACACAGTTTCGACTTAACATGCTGCCCCACTGCATACTTTTCGTCATTTTCGGAGGATCCTAATTCTTGATCGTCGGAAGTCGCTAATGAGTTTCTGAAATCTAATCTTTTAGAGCTGTCATCTTTTGCAAGAGCCCGCGTCACAGGACTCTCCGGTTCCCGGAGTCTTGATACTGATATTGGAGCTCTAAATTTAGCATAAGTGCGAATAAACGACGACTTCTCAAGCTGTAACCGGAAATTTCTTCTGGCATAAAACTCGCTTCCAGTAGAACATGCAAGGGCGGAATTCCCACTGGCACGAAGTGGAGACTTCGAAATTGAAACACCTGATTGCAGCTCTACAAATGTGGGCAACTTTAGTGCGTGCATTTTGTGACCTTTGCCTATACGAATGCTGCGCGGAGCTAACGTCCGGCCAGAACCATGCTCTAATTTGCATCAACGAGGTCGAGACCTATGAACGCCCGCCGCGTTTACTCCTAAATCCAACGACGCCTCGGAATCTTTAACCAACGTGGAAGTTGACCCTCATCCCCTTGGCGTCTGGGCATAAACCCCAGCAAAACTCCCCATCCTCCACCTCAATCAAAACTCTTCTCGAACAGGCCAGAATATGGGACACGACGAGGAGAGGAGAGGAGAGCACAATTGAGAGCACAATTTGGAGCGCAATCAACAAACCAGCACTCGGCATTGAGCCACCGAGCCAGCTCAAGGTGAGAGGCAGCATCCACGTCACCCCCGGATAAAGCTCTGATGTCTTCATCCTGCGGACCCCCCTAGAACCCAATTTCCGACCAAGCAAAGTTGACGGGCTCCACTAGCACCAGCAGCGACGAGCAGCATGACATGGAAAGCTCCCGAGCTGGTGGTGGTTGCGAGGAGGCTGAGCCAGGAGCCAGGAGCCAGCGCAGGTACAAACAAAGCCCAACCGATGAGCTTTCTCTCTCTCGGAGATGGGAACTTGCGGCAGAGAAAAGGACATGGCGATAAATCGACGCCACATCCAGCTGACGCGTGGGTGCGAGTGGTGCTGAAAGCCGTTGGGTGCACTTTTCGGGGATCGGGGAGGGGAGGGGGCCCTGTTGCCGCAAGAAGCGAGGGATGTGCCCCATTCGACTCTCGGGTCGGGTCGCGGGGTCGGGGGGGTCCGAGTGCCGGATGCCGAAGCAAGCGCGAGAATCTGAGATTCAGGCGTCAGGGATCCTCAAAAGTGCTGCGGGTGCCACTCGGGCAATCGGATGCGATGGGATCGGACGGTGGAAAGGCCGGATTGAATCTAGAGAGGGCGGGGGCGGCAAGGGACCCAATGAGGCTGCCGCGCCACGCGTCTCTGACGCGTCGGGACCCCGAAGGTGGTGCGGGTCATGCACGACGCTCCGCCGACAGGACAGCCCGACTGCGGGACATGAATTTAGCCACCCCCCAATTCCTTCAGCAGCCCGCGCGTGGCCTCCATGTTAATCTTCCGCGAAATTCGTCCGCTCGTGGTCCTCTGCCTTCTCTTCAAGAGCATTCCCAAAGGACAATCGACCTTCTGAACCCCCGGGTTTTGCAAGGGCGTCGAATTGAGCAATCAAACACGCACTTCTTCATCCTCAGGGGTCTTCCTATTATCTTTTGTTATCAACTCGGCCCACTATATCACAAGAAAGAAGAAGGGGGATTGTTAAATTCACCCCGTCGTCGTCAAAATAAGAGTTCGTGACTGAGAAAGGGTAGCAAAATAAGAGAAAGGGCTTGGAATATTCATATATGGAATATTGGCGTGTTCAAGCTCCACAGCGACGGCAGTAGATTCCGGTGAAGGAGCATATGAAGGATGACCACTCAAAGCAGCTTGTGCATAAAGGGGGAAAAGAAAGATAAGCTGGAACTTATCCTAGACGCGACAATAAGAAGAGTTAAAATTTGTTATGCCATGTTACGATGACAACTGACACGAAGGGGTGAAATTAACAATCCCTTGAAATACAAAGTGAATCTCTTTCTCCTCAATCAAATAAAAAAATTTCATCTTCTGAAAGTCGAACAAGTTGACCCTTTAATCAAGTGAACCCGAAAAAAGGCTTGACCTCGAAAGGATTGAAAGTCAAGTCAAGGGACATAGACTGTAGTGAAATAATAAACCCTAGTGGTATTTGAAGATCGTTGAACAACGACGGTGGTATGGTAAAGATGCCTCTCCGTGCAAGAAAGCCTTTGCAAAAAGGGGATACTCCCGCTTCGATAACCTCTCCAGAAAACAAAAACTTGCTTCACATGCAAGGAACGCTTTGTATTATATACGTAGTACGCGAACCAACCACGGACTGCCAAAGTCTCATAGAAGCTTGGAAAGAAGGTCGGCGTCGAAAGATGAGGCCGGCGGACACGTTGCAGTGAAGTACATTTCGTGACTGCCATGCCATGCCATAGATGGATGGCATGACATGGCATGCCATGTCACGAGATGGAATGTTTCTCCGAATCGGAGGAGGAGATGAGACGCACGAAAGAAGCCCAGGAACGGAACGAGTCGTCGCCGTGTACGCGAGGAACCGACCAGCGTACAAAGAGCAGACACGGCGAGTCGTTGCCAGTTCCGGAGTCAAGTACAGGACCAACCAAACAGAACGGAACGGAACAGAACAGAAGAGCGCCGGAGGAGGAAGAAGGGAGCAAGGCAACGACCCGGGCGGTGCCGTCGGGAGGTCCGGTCACCGGCGCTCGAAGAAGCGAACAGGGACCGGCGAGCCGGGAGCATGGGAACCGGAGCTAAAAAAAGCAGAGCATTAAAGGGCGCAGAGGGAAGTCGGTGCAGGACAGTGAACGCGAACCGGACCTCGGTCCACGATGGGTCTGCTTCGGTGCGCGGTTCGGTGCGCCTGTATCTGCGTTGTTCTCGGCAGGTTTGGCTTTCGAGCTCGCGCTCTGGGGCAGAGTCAGAAGAGTGCGCGTGAGGACGGACGGCCTGTACCTGCGCGTGTGTGACTGTCTTCGTCGGAGTCGTAATCGACTTGGACCATGGCACAGATGTCCTTTCCTGTAGAGGGATGACGAAATGGTGATGCTGCGTTTGGCCTGATGATCCAGAGAATTTGCAGCAGGAGGCCGAAGGAGAGGAGGAGCAGGAGGAGGAGGAGGAGGGGGGGAGAGGTGTTGTAGAAGAGGAGGGGCCGAGGAGGAAGAAGGAGAAGAAGGAGAATGTGGGCGACTAGGGAAGGTCCATGTCTGCCTGCAGCGGACTGCACTTCTGTGCCGATGAGCGTGGGCGTTTATTATATCTGCTCGCCGAGCATCTTTGTTTCTCCTGCCTCCGTCTGTCGCCGTAGGTAGATTCTTTCGGCGATTTTGCTGGCCAGCCGACCGAGCGAATTGCTGAGAGGTTGGTCTTTCTTTCTCCGAGAGATTTTCCCCTCCCTCTCCTCTCTTGTGTTCTTCCTTCTGGGGCGCGTTGATGATCCTTTCGAACTTTGTAATTGCGGGAGAGACTATATAGTTCCTGGATACGGTGTGCGGCGACGTCAAGTGAAGACGAGGCTTGGATATTCAAATTTTCTCTTGGTGCGAGGGCCAGCCAACAACTCCCAGAGAGATAGAGAGAGAGAGGAGTGAAGGACGTAGGCCGACTGCCCAAATAGAGGTGTTGTGGATTGAACGGGCGATACTGGAGGATTTCGTGCGATGCGTGGCAGGCCGTGAAACGTGGTGCAACGAAGGAATTGTAGCGGCCATTTTCGTCGGGTAAGGAGAGGAGCGAGGTGGTGGACTTGGAAGCCAAGATGGTGCAAATGACAGAGTTGTATCCTCTTTTGATGTTCTTATTGACAAAAACCTAAATTCTCTTAAGAAACGAGCAGGATCGCAACACTATGACTTAGGCGCGTAAAAGGACCTGGTAATTGCCACAAAGTTATGGATGGATCGGATGTTCTGATCTGATTACGTTTTGGACAATTGACGTGTTTTGGTCATTGAATTCCTTGAGAGTATAACCACAAGTACAGAAGAGCTTCATTGTCTTGGATTCGGTTTCTTAAACCTATACAAGTAACTGCTGGTGCCAAAATTTAAAAGGCTTTCTTGTTGGAATTCGTTATAGCCGTTTCAACCTTAGCCTTCTCTTTCTGTTTTGGAGATAGGTTCTGTTGTGGATCTGTAGCGTGTAAGGATTGATATAATCGCTACACGTCCGTCTCCTACGATCACATAAGATTGAAGAATTTTAGTTTTTGACGCTTTTTGAAAACCCACTGAATTTTCCAGCGACGTTTAGGCCGTTCGTCTGGGATGTACTTAAACATATATAGTAGACACTTTCTGCAGTGTTATAATCACAAATTTTCACAAGCAGCCCGAACCTGTTATAGGATATGTTCGACATTTGATACGCGGAGCCAAGTTTTCGAACTAAACGTTCAGAAAGACCCACCCTGATCTTGTATCGAACCTCCAGAACTCTGCTTGAGGATATCCATTGAGAACTGAATTGTGTTTCGAAACTTGAAGAACTAAGTCGACTTTACTTGAATGCGCCGGGTAGTCCGGTAGCTTATGGTTCAAATGGCATTTAATTTAGCACCGACCAGCTGTAGAATTTCTCAAGGACGAAGCCTCAGATTCAGTGCATATCAAGCGAAGAGATTCGCCTAGAAACTTCATTCGAGCCAAATTTTGACCGAAGTTTCCTGCTAGATTATGATTGACTAGTCATTTCAACCCGTGGAATCAGGCTTGATTGCTTTTGGATTCGAAAGGCAATCGTAATCATGCCTGTAATCAACTGGAACGAGCGGAGCACATAAAAAAAAAACATGAGTGAGTTCGCCTTAGGGTTTAGTTATTCTTTTGTTGACATAATCTTATGTTAGTCTTGGAGTGATGTCGAACATTGTGTCGCATGGAAAAGTGTTGCATGATGAAACAACTTTCTCGAACGATTACAATGAACTTGAACCTTGACTTTGGACTTTCATCGCGATTGCCGCTGGTGTAGTCGGGTGGTTATGCCTCTGTCGCTTGAAGAGGTACTTATACTTTCAACTGGTTGCTGATTACCATTTCCTCCGGTGTCCCCTCGTGACGCATCTTTCATGAAACTGCTGGCGAGATTTTATTTCCTTTCACGAGCGACGAAGAAAATTTCTATAGCCTTTGTAGATTTGTATTATTTTTTTCATCGATTCGAACCAAAGCGAAGGATTTATAAAGGTTTGTTCACTTCTGTTCACCCTTCTGACACTGTTGGCCATACTTGTATTGCAGTACAGAATAGCCCAAATGTACATGGTTACCAAGATGCAAGAGCAGCAAACATCAGGCACAGAGGGTGTCGAAATATTAGTAAATGAACCCTTCGAGAATGAAGAGTTCGGCAAAGGTCAATATACGTCAAAAATTTACCACTTGCAAAGGTATCAATATTTTCTCTGTGCCTTAGCCTCTAGAGGTGATTATTGGCAAATTTGATCACATTTGCTCCAGTCGGTTGAATTTGGAGATTAGTTGTTCGTAACAGCTGTGCCAGGATGTGACGCTCAAGAGATTACAATTTACATTGCTTCCGCTGGTCGTAATAGATAGGCAGTTCTTTGGTTAGATGGCCAGATCAAATCCTGGGATGTCACTTCAAGTTTACAATCATCTGAGACTTTTATTTACATATTGAAATAAAATTTGCAGTAAGGCTCCATCCTGGTTGACAGCTATAGCTCCAACAAACTCGTTGATCATCGAAGAGGAGGCCTGGAATGCGTATCCTAAGTGTAAAACAGGTAAGATAATAAAGATAACCTTAGAAAGAAATATCGACGGCTAGCACGTCAGTCGTGTTAACTTACATTCTTTTACATGAGGCCTTGCGGTTTTCTTTTCCGACTGATCAATAGAGTAGTCTTGTATGGACCAACGTTTGTGTGCGGTGTTAATTTGATAATGAAGGTACAAATTAATCGAATAGTTATGTTTATCGACTGTCTGTGCTGACATTATCTCTCTTTGTGTGATGTTGCCGTGTTCTTGTGCCGATCCCAACTTAAATGATACGTAGTTCTTAAGGTGAGACTTTTCATTCTTAGGACACATAGGTCTTTCTTTATGTTGATTATCACTTTCTTGTTTCACGTATCTAGTGGCATGGGTGGTATACGAACGTGTGTAGCACTTTGTTCACAAAATGCTTCTCTCGGCAGTAGGCACGGAGTTTAGCAGCTGAGTGCTTGTTGATCTGTGTTTTCGTGCATAGTACTATGATGTAAACTGATTATGTCTAACACATTTCGTTGTTTTCTCAGTGTCCATATTTTGCCAGGTTCAAGCTTACTATTGAAACAATCCACGTCGCTGATAGTGGACAATCGCAAAATGTGAGTCCACGACGGTAGTTTTTATCTACGCTTACTGTGCAATCAATGAGATGACAGTGACCCTGTGCTGAATAGAAAGATCATGGACCATATTTAGGAATGCCTATCCCTAGCAAGATTAACCAGTTTTAAGTATGTGTCGGAATTGCAAAAGATCCTGCTGACAGCATATATTCATCAATACTGAACGCGTTGCACTTCTGCAGGTCCATAATCTTTCCAGCGATGCTCTGAATAGTAGGAAGGTGGAGACTGTCGATATTGCATCCAACGTGCGGGATTATTGGAGTTATGTGATTGGGGGTCCTGCAATCGACCTCGAGACCTTTCAGTCCAGAAAGACTGGCCGAGGTTTATTATTACCTGGATGGCAGGTACGAAATATGAAATGTGATATGTGTGAAGTATGGCATTTGTCATGAACTATCAGGCTTCACTGGGAGAGAAGGTCGCTTGCATTTTTAAGATACAATTTTGATAGATTTGTTTGGCATGATCATACCAAGACCTGCCTAGCACCTATCCACTTTGCTGGGAACCGGATGCAAATTTTTCTCAATGCCTCCATAATTACCTGGCTTGCAAAACTTCAATCCAGATTGACATTTTTGAGTTAAACTTGATCCGGTTTTGTGCAGTCTAGAGCTAATCCAGTTATGACCGCGTACAAGTTGGTCACGGTAGATGCTCCTTACTGGGGGTTCGGGTATCGACTGGAGCAGCTTCTCTTGGGGGTACGTCTCGACGGAAGCTTTGAGTTTCCTATTCGAAATTCGTATCTTAGGATGACCTCGTATTCTTATTCCACGTGTCATTCTATCTGACTGGATGTAGTCTACGCTCAGACAAATCAAAAGGAAGCCTCTATTGTAGATATGGAATCAGCTGGTGGCATTTTACGCCTTTGTTTTTGAGTATTGCACGGGCTTTGTGTGCAGGGAGAAAGGGCACTCTTTGTAGAAAGCCACAAACGATGTTTTTCGTGGATAGATGAGTGGTATGGTCTCACATTTGAGGATGTGCGACTCATGGAGCTTCAAATGGATCAAGCATTGAATATGGTAAGTCACTTCATCCTTCAATCAGAAGGACAGTCTTCGTTCGTGAGATTCAGCTTACTTATGTTTCTTATACCTGTCTGTTGCTTTGCGCTTGGCAAGGCATCCAGCTCTGGTATGTCGCAATCTGATCATCAATCTTGCTGTTGTGTTCTTCTGCAGACTATGCATCAACAACATGGTGTGCCTCAGGTAGCGGGCTTGCTCCCTGATGTTAAGGGCAATGGCCTTAATACCTCAACAGGAACTGGAAATAGCAACGGTCTGTTAACTCAACAAGTCGATGAGAGAGAGCAGCAGATAGACCTGCAAAAGAATTGCTCTCAAGGGAAAATAGTGAGCGAAAAGATAGTGGACACAAACGTTCCGATGATGATATCATCCCCTTTTTAATGCGCCTAAAGTGCCATAAGTATATATTTCCTTAGTTATTAGTCCGTGATCAAATTGATCGTCCACTCTGTGCCATATCGAGCTTTTGAACACATGGATCAATTTACGCACTGAAAATAATATGGCCAATGTAGAGTATAATCAGCTCTGGCCATCTGGGTAGGTAAAGCACCTGTCATATTACCTTCCATTAGTGGGGAATCTGACACAAGGTATTCGCTCGAGTATCGCAATCCAACGTGAAGATGTAGTTTTTGTTAGAACCAGACTGATTGCAGGTTGTACAAATTTTTAGATTGTTGAAGTGGACCCTTGTTTCTGAGGGAGTTATGATGCTTCCTTATTTGAGGATTTAGGTATGGTATATTCAGGCACACTATTTGATCTGTCGGATCAAAGCAAGCTGTGAGATGATTTCTCATCATATTGATTACACTCGTGTACTGATACACGGGCTGTTCAGCCGATGTGTATTCTGCGGCCTGCGTGTAATTTCCTACTTTTGCTCCAGTACATCTTGACTCACTGATGTTCCATTGAGTTTTGAACCATGTTGAAACATGCGTTTCATGAGTGCTAACGCACGAACGCCCCATTATGCAGCACAAGTGGTATTCATGCTTTCCACACATCCTTTACGTCGTTGAATCAGGATACTCTTTTACCCAAAGTACCGTGCTTCATAAATGAAACAATTACAAATGTTACATCTGTGCCCTTGTCTTCGGCAGAGAGCGCGAATTCTGGAACGAAAAGGTACTTTTTGAACGCTTGTTGCAGCTATTTTCTCCTCTACTGTACTGATACCAATGGTTCATTGTAAGGTGATGACTACAGCGATCATCGGAAGGAACGCCACCCAAGTCGTAGTAAAGAATCTACAGTCGTACAGGAGTGGAGTCTGCCGGAACTCGTGATGCCGGTTTGCTTCCTACGACTGAAATTGAACTCGCAGACAGAAAAGCCGACCTCGTGCACACTGATTGCACCAGCCAGCCTGGTGAATTTCGGGATAGCGAGCTCGCAAGAGTTATTTAGCACCGACTGAGAGTTACAAATTTCGTGAGGCTAGAATTTCGCGCTGGGCCTTGAAATATCTTCCTGGTCTAAGAGTCGGCACGTATTTGGTCGGTGAGAGACGGCAAGCGGTTGACAGTCATCATTGCTTTGCGAATTCATTATGTCTTAACGTTCGTGGAGAGATTCTGTGCAAAATCTGCTGGAAGAAAGAGGTTTGGTGTAATTGTCAACGTACCCGCCGCTAGGCTTGGCCACGGTCCGGACCGGCGGTTAACCGGTCCGAAAAATCTTTTTTCTCTGGGAGTAGAATCGGAGCAGCGAGGTACCCAATTCGTGACTCAGTGTAAAAAATTCACGAGAAATATTCCATATTCTGCTGGAAGTGAATCTCAACTTGCTAGGCAACAAATACCTGAAAATTATTGAACCAAAGTACAACTCAGCTCGAGTCTCTGAAAGTCCAAGGGGGTTTCATTTGAATCGCGGCCCACCTCTTTCCCTCCGCCATCGCTCCCTAGACGCAAATCCCCTCGACCTCTTCCCATGGGCCACGTAGGGGTCCGGACCGATGGTTAAACATCGGGACCGGCAAAATCCCGGACCGATTAACCTGTCCGCACATTTTCCGGACTGGTTAGCCGTAAACCGGACCGTGGCCAAGCCTACCCGCCGCAATCTTGGTCCTCGAAGGATAGTACTTCCTCGTCTTGTGGGAGCAATGGGCTTTTTAACGGTGGATTGTCAATAATTCTCATAGACACAGAAACGGTAGATGTGGATATGGGACCCACTACGACATATATCACTTGCAAAGTGCCGTGTAAAAGTAATATGGTATCGGACAAGTAACTTTTAGTCTCCGATTTGTGTATTGGACATTATTCGATTGGATGTGGAGAGGGAAAACTTTCTTTTGTTTGAGGAGACCGCGCGTGTATGCTGATACACGCGCCGTCTGATTACGTCGTTGGGCAGTCAATTTGTGCTCGCCATACGAGGGGTTCGTGTATCGTGCTCTTTGGCTATAATTGTTGTACATAGAGATGCATACTTGGAATATATTTTCGGGATATGGAGGGGCCCAATTTACTCTCCATATACTATCAAACCGAATGTTGAATAGTGTTCAGTAAAGCAGGTCTACATTCTATTTGGCATTCTATTTTTAGATAACACATTTACAAATTCTTAAGTTTGACCAATGCCTAAATTAAAAAAGTGTGCACATAGAATGAACGCGTATCTTCGCTGACCCAGGTATCATTCTATACATATTATTTTTCTTCCCTCACATTGGGTCACATAGTTGACCATGAATCACAATGTACGGAAAGGATTTATCTTGCAAAATGTCTGTTCAACCTCAGCACTTCCTAGAGTTTGGATTGAAAATCAGTGGACGGGACGTCAAGTCCCATCCACTAATTTTCACGGAAGCCACTTAGGACTTGGTGTCCCAGGTCGTGTCCATGACTAGATTTGACCGAACCTGTCCATGACTAGTTTTGAACGAACCGAGAAGGAAGTCACGAAGAGTTCGCGCACCGAAAACACGAAGTACTGTAGCGTTTCCTTCTGTATAGTAAACTACGACAAGCACAATTCTATCCATCACATCGTAGTTAAGCAGCATTACAATAAAGCATCAAAGGAAGAGAAGATAAATTTTTTCAACAAGGCAAGATTGACCTCAATCTTGGAATAAGTCGATATGGACAGCGATGTCATCAACGTGGTCGTTGATAAGATCATCATGAACAAAATCATCGACAAACTGTTATTTTGTGCAAATGATGAGTCGGAAGCTTTATCATTGAAGATTATGAAGCTTTTCATACCAATTTCCAATCTCATGTTCTCATATCAAGTCTCTATTAAAAACGTGAAACTTTTTGAGGTCTCTTTCGATCATACTTTATTGAATATCTTTTTGTCAAACTGCTAGTGTTATCGATCAACACTTGACACTAGCTAGGGGTTTCTTTTGGTTACCTCCTAGATTGGAGTTGGATTGTTTGTATTGTTTTTTTCAGCCTTTTGACCCTTTGGATCTCACAGGTTTGAACTATTTAACATATACTATTTACACAAAGAAACCTTCAACAATGCCAAGCTTATTGACCTCAACAATCATCTTATCAGCAAATATGTTCGAATAGATGTTGCCATCAATCTGCAACGCATCTCCAATGCGTTAATATCTCAACAAGTTTGGACGATCTCTTATTGATGACAATTCTACTCATCGATTAGTTTCATATTTTGATATTCAAATTTATCTATGTGAAAATGGTCAATTGTACAACTTGCATTTGATTGCCGTACCATTATTTGATCAACACACCTTATTAAACATTGGTGCAATGATCCAATTCATTCTCGATGCACTACTTCCAAATTGGCGATGCAAAATTGATGCTTTTACTATCGAAGGCAAGAATACGATGATGGGCCGAGATTCCGATATTGTGATTCAAATCGACGAAGAGACCGAATTTGATGTAATGCGTATTTGATGCGCTCCTCATCAGGTCAAACTTGTCGTTAAGGAATGTTCTCATTTGATGCATGATGTATCATTTTATATGACTACCATAATTTCAACGTGCATCTATGCCGTCAACAGAATTTGCAGGTGGAAATGAAAAGCACATGCTCAAAATATACAAATTGATGAATTCACCTTGAGCATATATTATCATGGATGTTCCAACACTGCCGTTGTCTCATAATTTAGTCTGATGAGAAGAATCCTACATGTGCGTCGGACGACGGATAATGGATGATGGTGGTTGGGGTCCGATGTAACACTAGGATTTAGAGACAAACTCATTTGAAGATCAAAACACAAACTCTGAAGATGAAAATTACCAACAATGGTTGTATTCTTCCTTATATAGCTCATACCAATAAGTACAAGGAGGTAAGATTTCATCTCCATCATCCAATTCTCTCATAATGGATTGGTGACATGACAGATATAATGAGCACACGGATTACTGACATGTTGCTTCCAACTAGCACACTCAATCCTTACCTAACAAGAACATGGATGGATGATGTGTTGTTTTGAACTAACACCCTAACTAGCACGCAGATTGCAGACATGGCACTGTAGATATTCCAATATCATCTACTCTACTCAATCTTGAATAACCTCTATTTTAGTTATAACTCACTAAAGATGGTTACATCGGATCACTATTTTGGTTCTAACTCACTAAAGATGGTTACATCGGATCACTATTTTATCTCATCGTCACTTTGGTCATTGTGAAATCTCTGAATCTTATTTCTGTCAGAACAAAAAAAAGAAGCTCAAATATGCATTTGTGCGCCTGATGTTGTTAATGAATATTCAACTGTGGACTCTAATTTAGAATTTGAAAACTTGCGGCCTGAGCAATATGTCATTGTGGAGCGCTTTGGAATCACAATTGACAATGTGGAGCATCACATTCATAGTTAATGCTCAGGGATTTGTGCTCTCCGGCAAGGTTTAGACGTGGTTAATTGAACATAGATTTGATGTAGAAAGAGCTAGCTTTGTTTGGATTGAATCTAACAAACAAGATGAGGTGCGTCAAAGCCGAATGCAATCGCAATATCCTCATGATTGATGATCTCATCCCGCCGGTGATGCCGCTCGTGAACTTGAAACCTATGATTTTATCGATGATGTGCTTGATATTTATCAAGCACAATTGGCCAAGTTTTGTCATGTTGAAGAGATTGACTACGTAAAAATCGATCAACAAACATTATATAACATCTACCGATGTGAATCCCACTGCCAAACAATTATCAATAACTAGGATCACATCTCGTATTTCAACGAGGGATGAAATGTGTTGAGGACGGATTGTTTTGCTACATTGCAAAATTTTTTTGATGAATTGGCCAGCACTTTTGCCAATGTGACAAGTGTTGAACTAAATTTCAACATTTGAAATGTAAAAATTACCACTTTTGATAGAACATGATGAAGCTTACATTGCAAAACATTTTCCAAACGAAACAACGTAGTATAATGAAAATGAAGATTCATGATCCATCCTAGTGAGCGGATGACAAATAGACTAATGTGTTTGTTATGAAGTTGAATAAAATAAAGTTAAAAATACACTTATTACTACTTTTTAATCGTGTACCGATATTTGAAATTTTAGTATGCAGAATCTAATCTATATTAGTTTTTGAGTGATCTCCCGAGTCTTAGTAGATCTGCATTAGAATCAACATCAAGTCTAAATTCAATTTTGCCCAACAAGACTTCTATCATTTAGCTTTTTGTGATTTCAAGTTAAGTATGTTCTAGATTCTCTCTAGTTTCTTGCTTCAACAAATGCATACTTGTGTATGTTTGTTTGAACATGCATCATTTAACAATGAATGTAATATTTCAACTCAATCATGTATAGAAATTTCAAACTACAATGTGTTCATAACTTATGAGAAAATAAACATTAATATATCAAAGAAATTGAATTTCATCATATATCGTTTATGTATGCCGGAT